AAAAAAGCAACAGTCGTGCTCTCATGAGATTGTTCTTTCAGTGCAACTTATTTTTACTTCTTGCTTTTTTAAATGTTATAAGAGTAGACGAACACCCAAGGAGGACAAAACAGAAGCGCTTTATAGCTATCCTTTAGTGAAGCTCTTCAGGGAGAAAATAATGGAGAGGTAAGCATCCATAAACATTAAATTATAAAAATATCGCAAATGCATATAAAAAACTTACGCGAGATCAGTTGGAAGCCTGAAACCACCTATGCGAACACGTTTCAGTGCATGAATCTGAGACAAATAAACATCAAAATATGATTTGTCTAGTGCCTGTTTGATTTGGAATAGTAAGGGTATGATTGGATATGGATTTGATTGGTTTTTTATTGGTTTTTTTTTTAACTATAGTTAATTTTGAAAAAGGTGATATGGTTAGTTGTTAGTGGAAATTGAAGTTTTAATTAAAATAATGTTTAAAATAAAATAACTAAAGGTGGTTTGACGTAAAAGTAGGAGAAAAATGATTGGAAGTGATGGTTAATTAAAATTACGTGAGTGAATGAATAGTGAATTAAAGTTGATGTGATGTGTAAGAATGATTGGTTGATATTATTTACTTATATTGATAATATTGAGGATAGTAGGGTTGGGTTAAAGTTGAGTTAAATTTGAGTTTTGATTGGTTAAGTTTATATCCAATACCATCAAGACATCAGCTTCACCTTTGCCGTTAACTTTCGCTAAATGATTCAATGATGATAAAAAGAATGATTATGTTTTTCCGATTGCTCTTTTATAAGGCAGAAAATTTATTATGTAATTATGTAATGTTCATTTTTCACACCAAGAACCATCAAGTATTGCAATGTCAAGCATCACATATTGAATGGCTATAAAAAATTCCATATCACCTGCAGCCCAGCATTTTTTACAAGTTCACGCACTTCATGGTTTCTTCCCTCGTGCACCTGTAACATATAGTTATTTTTTACATTAAAAAAAAAATCTTAATCATAATGGGAAACTACAAGCTGGCAGAGGCCACCAAACATCATATTAACTTCTTTGCTAACTTCTCTTCCTACAAATTTGGTTGATCACAAAAGAATCAACTTGCAAATTTATCAGACAAGTAACGGATTCAAGCTGCTAAACCATCCAATGATGAACATGAACATAGAAAGTGAAAAAAAAAAAAAGGAAACCAATCCAAAAGCATGCCGTGCAAAATTTTTTCCAAAACTAAACTTTATGAGACTATTTTATTATAATAAGCATGTCAAAAGCTGACCAACATTCAACAGCCAAGACTCAATGACTGGAGAAGCCCGATGGATTAAAATTGAGGAAATACCTCTTCCCCTTTTCTACGGGTAGTGAAATATCCACTGAGTACATAAGAAGCTCTAGAATATATGCGTAAGATAAAATAGTACCACAATCCGAATCCTGGGTCGTTTTATATCTGGCTGTTGTGGTAGCAACTCTACTAAATCAGGGGTACAATGAACACCTTCAACAACAGTTCCCTCACTAATGACAAGCAAGTGTTGCCTTTTGACTGCACCACTAATAGTTGCAATATACCTGACATCCAAAAAAATTGAACATGCATTTCTTTCAGATTACAGACAAACACAGAATAATAGTCCATTCTAATGGTTTGAGAGTGTATTAGCAAAAAACATAGGGATTACATGGCATGAATTGCATTGATATGTGATATGTTCAAAATTTGAAAGGAAAGTAAAGCCTTACTCCTTTGTAAAATTAGATGACGGATGAGAAACCTTATTGGCAAACTCACCTGAATGCATATAAAGAGATAATCAGTAGCAGAATATCAATTCTTATAACCATGACAACTCAAGCAATGAATTCTATACCATCATTTGTCACAATAATCAACCCAGTTGTACCAACATCAAGACGGCCAATGGTAAAAAGTCGTAGCTTTGGTACTCCAGGATTTCTTTTACTCTGAGGAATACAGATCATAACCAATAAGTATGATTCAAGCCCCTAAAAGGAAATTTAGTAACTGAGACAGCCATTCATACCCAACTCTTCATAAAATCATCAAAAAGAGACATCACAGATTTTGTCTCTTTTTCTCCTGCAGAGCATATATAGCTGCAACAATTAAATTTAATAACTCCATTACTTTACACAAAGCTAATATTGTGCTGCGAAGATAATGAGAGGGTGAGATGGCAAACCCTTTTGGCTTGTTTAGAGCAAGATAAACCTTTGACGGAAGTTTCTTAGGCAGCCGGCTTCCATTAACATATATAACATCTTTTCCAGGGTCAACTTTGGTCTGACAAATAATCGAGAAAAAAAAATATTTAGAAAACAGTTCATCTTGACAATCATTATAACAAAGGATGCAATTGAAATCTGCTGAATCTATTACACTACAGCTTCTGAAAATCCAGAACCATTACTTGTGTATTCTTAAACCAACCTGGGGTGTGTTGCAGACAGAACCATTGACAGTCACTTTACCTTGAAAAATCAGTTCTTCGCAGCTTCTCCTAGATGCCACTGTCAATCAAAACAAGTAACAGAATAGTACAAAAAATTTAAACTGATTATTTCATCTTATACAAAAACTAACAAGATGAATGGGGGGCTCACACCAGTGTACGAGGTATGAAAGGGTTTATGCATATAAAATGACCCATAATAAAAGGGGAAGGCATTCTCTAATATAAACTGACATCATTCTGATGTTATATGAGACAGATTGCCAGTTAAGTTAAAATGACCAAATTATTTACCTCACACAAGCACTTCGATTTCTTGAATACGTTTCACCAACTTATTTCACAGAATTTATTCAAAAAAATTTAATTTTAAGATAACAAAGAAATATCCTTTTTGTCTCATTCTCTAGAAGCAGTCGAGCCGTAATGGATAACAATGTACTGTAGGTTACAAATTTAGTGTAAGCTAATAAGTTGGGTTCGGGAAATGAAACCATCTTCGCACATGAAGAACTTCAAACTAATGCTTATCTAACATTAGATTTTACATATTTCGAAGATCACAAATTCTAGGGTAAGGCGCCCTAAGCCTTAGGCAGGCCGGCCCATCAGTCATACCTTTACAACAAAAATGTGTATTTATGCTATGAAACGACATGCTTATGGCTATAATGATTTTTAGAGTATACCATTTCAGCTCAAAATTGCGTATATTTGTTTAAAAAGTATGGCTACCTAACTGCCGCCTTACTGTTCTATGATCGTTCTTAATGCTTAAATCAAGGCGAATAGCATAAATAATGCAAGAATTTCGGTATGAAATATGTTGCCTGCTGATATTACACAAATTATTCATCAATTTCATTTACAAGTAAGGCCAAGTTATGCATGTACACGATGAGAATGAAATCAAAACAACATATAAGCAGCGTAGAGAACAGCAAAGTAAGAGTACAACCACCATAAAGCACGCGTACAACACCTGATGCGGCAAAACGACTTACCCCCTGCAGCAGCCAACACCTTGGCGAGTCGCTGTGGAGCCTCCCGGAATCTCTCGTTGTAAAATCTCCGAGCCGCCTTCGAGTACTTCGGCTCAGCCGTTGGAGCCGCCTTCGCTTTACGACCAGAACCTTCATCGTCCTTCTTCTTCGTCTTCTTTCTCTGCGTGCTTTGAAACGCCATCGCCTTGAGGAAACCTTCGGGCGGCGATGTGGCGTTGCCACTTTCGTCTTTGACAGTACATGGGATGTACAGCTGGTTGCCTGGGTTCAGTGCCGCGGGCGGATCCGACGACGGCTCCGGGTTTGGGCCGGGGGTTTTCCGCAGCTGGGGTTTGGGTTTCGGAAGGGCGAAGGTGATGTTGAATTTGGTGGTCGAGGAAAGAGAGGAGGTGATGGCTCTGCGGAGGTGGAGACGGGGGAGGACGGCGGAGGATCTGGAGAGATGGAGGGCAGAGAAAGCGGTGGTCGCCGCCGCTATCGCCGTCATTTTGCGGTGGCGTTTTGGGCGTGAAAGTGATAAGCTGAGAGCAGTCTCAGTTGAATTAATATGTTATTTATTTAATTTTTTAAGTCCAACGAGAGTTGCTAATAAACTAGTATAATTCCGTGCTAAAAGATATTTATTAATAGTTAAAAATTCTTATTAAATTTTGCCAAAAAAGAAATTCTTATTAAATAATATTTATAAATTTAAAATATGAAATCAATATGTAATACAATTTACTTATATTAATTTATTGAAAGTGTTATATAAAGTCTAAATTGTACAAAATTATATAAAAATGTCTATTTAAAATTAGTATACAACCCGTGTGGTGCACATAACTGATAATAAATTATTACATTATATCCGTTTCAAAATAAGTATCATTCCAAAATTTTGATTCAGAAAATCGATTTGACTATATGTGATTCCATAAAATAATTATTTTGATAAAATGTTATCATATATTTAACAGTATATGTGAATAATAAGTATAAATATAAAATTTATATTGTTTCATTACTTCAAATAATTTATTATTGTATAAACTATTAAAATAAAAAAAAATTAAGTAGTTGAGTAATATATTAAATTATAAATAATTGACTATTTCGTTTACGTCCAAGTTAATATTGACCCGTAAGTTATATAATTGACTATTTCGTTTACGTCCAAGTAAATATTGACCCGTAAGTTATGAATAATTATTTTTTATTTTTAAATTTAAATAAATTTTTTTTTTTTTGTAATATATTATATACTAAATTTAAACCATGTAACTAATAAAGATAATAGCTGCAAGTTTTGTCAATATATTATATTCCAAATTTAAATCATGCAACTAATAATGGCAATATCGTAATATCTGACCAAAATGATTCTGTACATTAATTTAGGCGGGATTTTTTCAAATTTTGACAAAAAATATTACTCAAATAGTTTAGGCGAGAAACCAAATGTTATTTTACCTCTTTTTAACAAAAAGAGATTTAGATTAAATTAAGTTTATACGTGTGGAGTGAAAAACAATAAACATAAGTAAAAAGATCTCTATATGATTTGTATAATGGTGAACCGTTGGTTTTTTATTTATATGTATATAAAAAGATGTACATTCCAAATAATTACGTTTAGTTATCGCGAAGTCCTCTTCATCGTTTTTAGGGTAGATTTATTATATTTATATGGATAATATATCCAGCATAATTGTATTTGTAAAGATAATAAATCGATGAAAACATAATATGGAATATATACCTTTATCATTAGTCTCGACCAATTTGATTACTTTATCTGTATAACTTTGAAATGAACTCTTTACAATGTATTTGTTTTTTTAATTATTATTTAAGTTGTATATATTGCATAACTATATGTTAAAAAAAATAATATTTTTCTATTGAAATATGCGATTTATATATATGTATATAAAAACTTATAAATTAATTTTTCAATAAAGATTAAATTTTGTATTTTTATTTTTTATTATAGCATTCCCATTTAAAAAATTGTTACCATGATTAGTGTAAAAAGTTTAACAAAATAATTGTCACGTGTAAAAAGATTAATAAAAAAATAAGGTTTTCATGATAATGGATTTGTATATATCTAAATCATCTTCTCTGCAATACCGCAACATCCGTCCGCAGAAACGTGTTCATAAGAGAAGAATTAACTTAAAAACTGAATTTAACCAAATAATTTACAAACTCATTTTCTTTTTTCACGGCTAATTATCTTAAACAATTACTCATTTGATAGATGATACCATAATTTAAATTCGGCTTGATTACTTAAAAAATAGGAAATAAAAAACAGATCGGTAGACATATGAAAATGTGATTTGTAGATAGGTGAGTTTAGTCAAACAAAATCTTATATATATATACAAATGAAATCCAAATCCCAAAAAAAACTGAAAACGTGCATGCATGGAATAAAAACAATTCAAATACCTGCATGAAAAAATTTCAAATTAAACTTTAGGGAGGAAAACAACTTTTAAGCGGGAAATTGAAATATTTTTTCAAACATTTTTTCTTCTCTGTATTTTATAGTAATAGATGAGTTAGAGATGAGATAAATAGGGTGCTTAAGGTAAAAGTAAATACAAAAAATATAATAAAGTTTTTTTTTTCAATGTCAAACTCACTTTATAAATTAAATTAACTAAAAAGCGAACATTTTCAAAAACCACATATTGATTAAGGTTTATTTTTGTAAATATTATAATTAAAATTGCAAAGTATGACATTAGTATATATAAGCTATGTTTGATAGACAAATAAGCGAGCTTATAGCTTATTTGGTTAGCTTATAAGCTCACTGTATTCAAATAAGCATTGTTTGGTAGGATCGAGCTTTTTAAAAAAGCTCGAGCTTATTTGATAAGCTTCTTTAGGTAGTTTTTCAAATAGGCTAGTTGAATTTTTTAGTTCAGCTAGCTTATCAGCTAATTTTACCAAACACTTTTATCATATAAGCTAGCTTTTCAGCTATAAGTCATAAGTTATAAGCTATAAGCTAAAAAATTACTGATAAGTTATCAGCTAGCTTATCAACTAATTTTACCAAACACATAGCCATATATATGGGAAACTTTATTTTTTACTCTATACATGGGAAACTTTATTTTTTACTCCTAATTAATTTTATCCTTTTCATATATGAAACTCCAACTAAATTAATAGTGATCACACATTTCATAATTTAATCAATTTTAGTTTAAATGGAGTGTTGTCTTTCATGGATATTTTAACAGATGGATATTTTAATAGGCTGTGTTTGTTTAATACCTTTTTGACCTTAAAAGAGCTTTTTGAACTTTTTAGCTGTTTGACTTTTTACAATCAGCTGAAAAATATGTTTGGTAAACAGCTTTTTCAATTAGCTTTTTTGGCCCAATCCGCTAAAATGAAAAACGCTGCTTTTCCTAGCGTTTTGATTCAGCGGTTTGAGAAAAAAGAATTAAAAGTCTTAATTTCTCTTTTATTATTATAGTCATACCACATAGGACGTAAGTCAAAATCGTCTTGGATTAAAATAGTGCACTGCTCTTAACTTTTTATTCAAACCTATAACAATAAAATATATATCACGTTTTTTATATTTTAAAAATAGAAATAATATTTCGTTTTTTAAAATTATAACTAATGTTACATAAGAAAAATATTCAAATATAAAAATGTAATTCCAACTAATTCTAGTATAATACTTAACAAATAATTTTACCAACCTTTTTTCTAAAATTTTAAATATATATAATTTTGGTTACTTAGATGTACATGGAAACTTTAAGAAATTGTTAATGTAAATTTTAGTTATTTAGATTTATTTTTTTTCAATTGTTATGAGAGATATCGAAATTGGCTCACATTTATTTTTTTAAATAGTGATGACTTGTTATTAGTTTTGTTTGTAGGACGTGAACTTATTTACTCAATCAAGAAATATTTTTATTTTATTATTATTTATATTTTTATTATATTTTAAATCACTTTAATAAATATTTAAAATATTAATTATTTTTATTTCCTATATAATTATAAGTTCAACATAAATGATAATGATAAATTATGTTGATGTCCTTATAAGTAATTTTGCATGTTCACAGCTAATTAAAAATAGCTAATCCTTCCAAACACTCCTTTACAAACCGCTAACACAATCATCTAGTCAAACCAGCTAACGCAATCCGCTGGTCAAAGCAGCAAATGCAATCAGCTAACAGCTATCAGCTAACCGCTGATTACCAAACAAGGCCATAACCTGCTGAAACTCTTAACTGAGTCTATCTGAACGTATTTTCAATTTCGTTACATAGTATTCCAAATTTTATTAGAATCATCATTAAAGTTTTAATTTTTGTTTCGACTAAAGTATGCATTAGGCGGTCAATCAAACTTAAAGGCACATTTTGATCGAAATCTATAGTAATATAAAGAGGTTGTTGGAAAAATACTTTTATAGTAAGTTTGACTAAAAAATAAATGATTTGACTTACTATTAATGGAAATTTTGAAAAAAAAAACACATGTACCAAAAAAATTGAAATTTTTATAGTAACAAATTTTGAGATTTTTATGGTAACAAATTTAATTGAGATATCCCAAAAAAATTAGAGATTTTTATGGTAACAAATTTGGAGATTCCTATACCAAAATTTAATTCATTTTAAATATGAATCCATAAGAATTTACTTTTATTGGTAACAAATTTGAAGATTGTTATGCCAAAAAACTGAGATTTTGAATTGAGATATTCCAACAATTACGGATTTTTTTCCCTTTCAAATTCATGTTGTAAATCAAATAAAAAAATATTCCAAAAATAATGGATGTTATACCAACTATTGATAAACTCCAATCTCATAGGAGATTTCTATGGGATTCTTATGGTAACAAATTGGAGATTCTTATGCCAAAAATTTGAGATTTTGAATTGAGATATCCTTACAATTTCGGATATTTGCCCCTTCAAATTCATGTTGTAAATCAACAAAAAATTATTTCGAGAATAATGGATGATATACTAAATATTGATAAACTCCAATCCATAGGAGATTTTTATAGGTTTCTTATGGTAACAAATTGAAGATTCTTATGGTAACAAATTTGGATATTCTTAAACCAAAATTTAATTCATTTTAAATATTAATCCCATAGGAATCTATTTTTGTTGTAACAAACTTGAAGATTCTTATGCCAAAAAATTGAGATTTTGAATTGAGATATCTCAACAATTACGGATTTTTTTTTTCATTCAAATTAATGTTGTAAATCAAACAAAAAATTATTCCGAAATAATGGATGCTATACTAAATTAATATCACTGGGTCCACACGTTAATATGATATTAATTAGATAGATAAATTACGTAAATCTTTTCTAACAAAATGCGTTCCAATATTGTTAACCAATTTAATGGGATTTTGTTAACTAATTTGATAGGATTTTGGTAACCACGGTATTTTGTTAGCTTTTCATGGAAACACGTATCTTCATTATTGATAAGGTTTGATAAGATTTTGTTTTCAATTTTTTTTTTCCTCTCTCGAAAATTTGATAAGGTTTGATAAGATTTTGTTTTTTTTTTCTCTCTCTCGAAAATTTGAGTTGTGGATTTGAAAAAAAAAATAAATAAATAAAATAAGCATATCATATTGATAAAATTTTAGTGTGGGCATAAAAATCAATTTTGATTTGATTGAACTTTGTTCATATAAACCTAAAAGAATCAGACGTTTGAAAAAATAAAATATTAATAGTAAATAATCATACCATATTGTAAGGTTTGATTTGGAATATTGAGGCATAAAAATCAATTATGATTTGATCACATTTTGTTTTATAGAAGTTATCTTAGAAAATTTTACACGTTTCAAAAAATTAAAGATTATAATTTCGTAAATTAAAGTTTTGGATTTGTCCAAATAAATAGGAAAATATAAAAATATAAATATTATTTTTCAATCTATCCAAAAAGTCTTACCAAATTTCATCGTAACAAACTCCATTATTTTTTGCTACATAATCTTCTAAATATTCGTTCGTCCCTCACAAGTGAATCACGTTCCACATTTTTTTTATTTTTTTAACAAAACCGATAACACATATTTTTAGAAGTCAATCATAATCATAATAAAAAAATAGATTGGATCATATTAAATACCTTACGTAAATATTTTTTTATTTTCCAGACATATGTCACATATACATGACTATATAAACATCACCAACGTTGAACAAAAAGTATTCGACATCTAATATATCCCACAAAACAATTTTTTCTACAAGCTTTTACATCACCATTGAAAATGGCTTCGGATTTTGGAGTAATCAAGGATATCAAAAGATCTAATAATCCACCAATCAAGCTACGCATAATTAGGATGTTCCAACGAGTTGAAGACGTACGCAATTACCGAAATGTTCTTGAGATTATCTTTCATGATTTTGAGATAATATATTCATTTAGTATTATTTAAATGCATCATTTTATGCAACATCTTTTATAATTTATTTATTGAATTATTCATTATGCAATGTTTTAGGGAGGACGAATTACTGGCATAATTCGACCTGCCAATATTCAAAAAATCATCGGTGATATTGAAAAATGTGGCGCTTATATCTTGACAAACTATCAAGTGGAAAGCAATATTGGCATCCATAAATCGACGATGGGAAAAAGGAGGATCATTATCAATGGCCAAACCAATATTATCAAATGGAGGGGTGATTTTCTTATTTCTAACTTTAATGGATGTCCGTAACATTGATGAAGTCATGTTGTTTGGTACGTTATAATTTTTTTGTTTATTTCTTATTTCGATTTTTTTTTAATTTAAAATCTGTAATAAACTATTTTATATGTTATACATTTCAATATGATGCATTTTCTTATATTGTTGTAGATGTTATTGGATTGATTGTTTTCCATTATATTTTCTTACGCCATTATTATAAATAAGAGTCAGGAACAATCATTATCGCATGTGGGATTATTTCTTAAGAAACCAGTTTTTAGTCATGGCCAATTGTATGTTGATGTCTCCCGTGTCACAAACAGAAATGGGTTTCAAAGTCCTAATTTGTGGCGACGATGACATGCCAAAGAATCAAACCATGAACGTTGTATATAAGGAAGTGTTCAATAATATATAGATTTTATTATCATTGTATTTATTAATTTATTTATTATTAATGACATGATCTTTCCTTTAGTAAGTACTTTGAATTTTAACTGAACATTGCTTTACAAAAGGGACGCAGATAATAAACCCCCGTGCATCGCACGGGACTGTACTAGTATTTTAAAATATGTAACGAAGATTTTAATAAAATTCAAGTAATGAAATTCAATATACCATTTGAATAAAATAAATCAAAAAAATTTAAATGATATACAACATCGGCGGTCTACAACAACGATTTTTTTTTACAGTTTTAGATCAACCTGAGTAATTTTTAAAATGCTTGAACCAGGTTAAGTTGGCACTTTGTGTACCAAAAATTGAAAAGTGGCTATATTCCGCTGTTTTCTCCATTTTTTTATTAACAAAATTATTTTAAATAAACAGTTAATTACGCCAGTTAAAATTTTTTAAACTTGTCCTTAATTACCAATCTATTTCCCATCCTTTTCGGATCTTTCTTTCTTTCCCCAAATCGAAACACGCACAATTTCTTCCTTTCCCTATTCTCTCTGTCGAATCAAAACAGCAAACAATTTCCTCTTCCATGGCGTGACTGTTAGATTTTCGTTTGGCTGGTGATCTCAACGCATCTCGTTCGAGGTATCGTGCT